ATGACAATATGATCCAGATGTGGAGAGAGACAGTTAATGTCTGCTACATGCCAGTGGGGTTGACCGAGACTTTTGGCGTCGACATGGTAACTGCCATGGTAACAGAATGTGGGTGGAGTCACGGGGGGTGACGGGTGAGAAATCGGCTCCATAGCTAATGAGCAGCTGCTGGCAGTTTCTCTGCAGGACAGCAGACAGGCAGGAACAATATTTCAAACTCCTTCAAATGAAATAATACGATAACAAAGACTCCTGGGGCAATGTGTGTGTTCTGGAACGTGTTTGGACAGGGGGTGCGACTCCTCCCGGTGAATAATCATGAACTGGCACACATACACACAGACACGGCTCTCATACCTCTTTCACCACCAAAGAATGTGTGTATAGACTATGTAATTAATCTAAAATTCATAATCCAGAGTGTGGATTATGTGTCTGGCAGATGAGAAAAATTGTCTCATAAAAAGACACGCACACACTCGTACTCATTCAGGAGCATTGTGAACTGGAATGCAAAATGAAGTTGGGATGGGTCAGGATTAGTAGTTTACTAATTTTCCAAAAACTGAATAGTCAATTAGTAAGCTATTATTGTGTATGTTTCTTTTCTTCAGTGTTTTAAAGGAAATTAATTTAGGGATGCAACTTCTCAATGAAGATTTCAGCATGCTGACAGCCAGGGCCGTTTCTAGCCATAGGCGAGCTAGGCGGTCGCCTAGGGCGCCACCAGCTGAAGGGGCGCCAATGAGCGCACGTACTGGCACTTTTAGCAGGGTTGTGATAAAGAGTGGCACGGTCACCCTGAAATATGACTGCCGCCCCCACTGGATCCCCAGGGAGTCAGATTGGCTAGAAACGGCCCTGCTGACAGCAGTAAGTGAACTGTATATTTTCAATTCATACCCGGTTTCATAAATGACAATTTAAGTTCACGCAATCTCACTAATTCGATCCAGGTTCAACGAGTCAGGATACTTTGATGTGCACGCTTATTCTTAAGCAGCCCTTAATGTCGATCATGGATCAAATCGATCCACTATGGTAAACATGTTTTCCTCAGTGCGTAACTGACACGTCACAGGTATATTTTTCATCTGTAAATGTTAGAAAGTCATTCAAATATATCCATTTTGCTGTCAGGAGTGAACAAGGCTTTTACGTGAGCGAACGAGCGCTGCTGCGCGCATGCGCTACACCAGGGGTGTCAAACTCAGTTCCTGGAGGGCCACAGCCCTGCACAGTTTAGATGTAACCCTAATTAAACACATCTGATCCAGCTAATCTAATCATTTAGGCTTATTTGAAAACTACATGGTATGTGTGTTGGAGCAGGGTTGGAACTAAACTATGCAGGGCTACGGCCCTCCAGGAACTGAGTTTGACACCCCTGCGCTACACAGATGGAGCAGAATAAAATAATAGCGCAATAATTCTGAATAAAATATACATTCTGCTAAAATATTTGTTGTTGAACATTAAATGTGACACATGTAGAATTTTAATCCTACATATAAGTGTATTTTTATGATAGCAGTAACTGTAAATCAAATGTAAGCTGGCTAATACAGCCCCACTAGCTCAAATTAGTTAAATATGTGTTCCTCTTATCAGTTACTCTAAAATTGCTAAAAATGTAAAGCCTTATGTCTAAATAAGTTATGTTCCATATTTGAAGTTGATATGAAAAAAAATTGAGGTTCCTGTGAGATTTTATTTAGGGCGTTATACCACAAACAGCCACCGGGTGCCATCCAAACTCCATTGAATTATGCATTTTTTTTGTGTTATACCATAAACAGCCACCGGGTGCCATCAAAACTCCACTGAATTTATTTAATGCATTTTTCTGTCACAAATGTCTAGATTTCTGTCGATATTACTTCTATCACAAAATAACCACCAAATATGGAATCCTGAGACTCAGACCTCTCCAACGATATGTTTTATGTCAAGATTATAAAAAGTTTTAATTGTAAAAGACCGTAATGCATTTTGTAATATGACACTTGACACCGCCCGCTAAGGGGGAGGAGACGGCCAAAAGATTTTAAAGTACCATTTCCATGGTAACTCAATGTCCGATTTCAAAATGGTTTTCACAGGATGAATCTTGGGCTTCTAAGCTTTCAATTAATATATAATTTATGATGATTACTAAAATATTTGATAGAGAAAAAGGACAACAGAATAAAAGAGCGCCAAGCATCCCACAGGTGGGACGGTGACATTTAAGGGGTTAAAGAGCAATTTTAGATTGTAATGTTTTAATGTTCTACTAATAACCATAAAAGGTACAGCTGTCATAAAATCAGAGAGAAAGGCTGCATCGCTAGAAACTGCTGATCAACTGAATGCGCAAGTAGCAACAAACCCAGTCAACCACCCCTTTAAAATGGTTTCATATATCTTTAAAAAAAGTTCATTACATTTTGGGCAAAGTACATTAAATGCAGTTGGTTGTAGCCTATTTTTTTATTTATTTGATTATTTAAGTTGCATTTTCTGTATACTTTTATTTTGGGACTAATAATGAAGTCAACTAATTGCATGTGAGAGAGTCAGTGGTATCAATGTGTTCCTATTGGTCAGTGTTAGAGGAGCTCAGCTTAGCCTGACAGTTAGCCTGCTCTGGACCAGGTTAGTTTCCCAGCAGTTGCCACAGTGACTGAGCTTGAGCTATGGTAATTTTGCTTTCGGAAACCAAATCAAGAGACAATAAGTCAGAATAACTGAAATAAGCCTGACTTATAAACTAGTTTTATGAAACAGCCCCCAGGGCTGGCATTGTACTTTGTTTTCAAGTCAAGTCAAGTCTGCTTTATTGTCAATTCTTCCACATGTACAGCACATACACACAGAGAATTGAAATTGCGTTACTCTCAGACCCTTGGTGCATACAGATATCACTAACAGTAGAACATAAATACAGATAGATACAGAAAAAGTGATAAAATGAGAGTTATGTCTAGTGGTAAAGATTTCTTTGTGAGGGAACCTGGGTTCAAATCCCAACCTTACCTATGTTTTGTATGGTCAACATAACCGTAGCTCATAAATATGCCAACAGAACTGCAGATAGGCTAGCTGTTGGGGAGTAACGGCAGAAACAAAAAAAGAAATAAAACATGTCTTTGTAAATATTACATGCAGTAAACGTCAGCGAATTGGCAAGTGCTGCGGCTGTCAGAGCTCAATGACATGATGGACGTATTGTCACATAAAACAGAGTTTATTCATTATCAACTGGCTAAGTGAAGTGTCTAAATAGGCTCTGTCTGTATTTTCTGTCAGCTGTCTGGAATATAGTGTGACAGCAGTTATCCAGAAAAGAGTAGGTTAATGTTTGCAACACAAATAACAAGTACACTGAACTGAGAATAGTTTTGGACTCAGACATTGGCAAACCAGTGAGTTTACTGCTGATACCAGCATGCGTGAACCAAACACCTGAATGAGTGAAATATAGGTTTCTTTAATAACAAATAAAATGTACTGGAAATGCATAGCCTATATTACACAGATTTTTTTTTTTAACTGCGTCAAGACATGTAAATTGATGTTACTAATGAGTATTTGTATTGTATGAAGATTATTTTAAGTTTTTATGAGTTGGATCATGGTTTCTGTTAAAAGGTGAGTTAAGACTAGTCAATACACTTTCTATGTTTTATACATATTATTATTATTATTTAGTTGAATAAAACATAAATCAGCAATATGCGCTTAAAGGGTTAGTTCACCCAAAAATGACGTATGAGTTCAGCCTTGCACATGCGCCGGCCGGTGAGTCTCGTGAAAACTAACGTTTGTTAACAGGAGCAAAGGAAGCAAAGTGTCCTTACTTTAGCAAAGGAAAACCAGTCTCCTCTTGGCTTCGGGTCCAAATTCAAAATATTGTAGAGGGTTTTTTTCACCCGGCCCCTCCTCCTCAGATTTGACGCACACACAATGGTTGCCAGATTGACGACATCAACAGGAACGAGCGCACTTGACTATGAATGAAATGAAATACGCTGTGTTTTCCGCCAACTGGCAACCCGGGGTACCGAAATACAATTGGGTAAACTGGCAATCTCGGGTCTTTCATGCCGAGAACTCTGCTCATATTTTAAAAGTTAACGACCAAACGAATGTTCATAAAAGTTTACATTGCTGTTGCAGATGAAATATAACACAGATAACATCAAATACATATTTTTTTACCAAGTTAAATGTTGAATATTAGTAACTCAAACCCCTTTTTCTAAGCCTCTCTACCGAACCGCCGGTCGCGCACATCCGGCATGTTTGTAGTTTTTAACGCGTTTTTTTCGTGTTTGTAGTTCTGGACAGAATCCTTCACCAAAGCGCAATGGATTGTGGGCAATATTAGCCATTAGAGTGTGCATGGATCCACACTTCAAAAATCGACCTGACTTGGCATACTCTTTTCAACATACTATGCTTTGGGACACACTTATTCTAATCTCACATTTAGGATGGATAGTATGAACATTGAGATGCAGGGCGATATTCTGGCCCGGAACGCACATTTTCAAAGGAGAATAACTGACTGTAGCATTGTTTTTCAGATAAACAAGAATGTTAACTTAGCTTTTTATGCTTTAGTAGAGTCAAAAACGTACATACAACACCTTTAAGCATCGCTTTATTTCAATATTTGAGTGTGTATTTTGCCCGCCTGAATGATAGTATTTATATGGACGTCATCACGTGATGGCGTATATAACTGGTGAATCAGTTTTTCGAAGCAGTTCATTAAAATGAACTGAAAGGAACCATTTCGCGGAAAAGGATCGAACTTGACAGCACTAATTATAATGCCTGCGTCCCAATGTGCATACTATCCATCCTAAATTCTATGTGATATTAGTAATTTTCAATACTATTTAGGGCAGATAGGGTGGATAGTATGCACATTGGGACGCAGGGAATGAATCATTCTTTGGAAATCTCTTCAGTGAATCGATCAAACGGCTCGGCAACCGGTTTGAATCGTTTTCGCGATTCAGCGTGATTCAACTCGGACGGTTCACTCAATCTTTTTGAAGCGGTTTGTCAGTCGGCAAACGTGATAGGGAACTTCAAGAAGGATAAAAACGCATATTGAACTTCTATACAGTCTGCTTGAAAGCAAACCTGCAAGTTCTTGTTGTTTTTCCAGCGATGAAGATTCATTATGACCAACACGCGCACGTGCGTCCCGAGAACCCCTCTACTGCAGGTAGGCTATAATAATGATACATTTATAATGTTTGTTTACATTCTGCATTTAGATAGGGCATGTTGACACTAATTGTTGTCATAAGATTATATGATTTAAATATTTTATATAGTCAACACACCGTGACACCGACTCCATTTTAAACATTGTTGGCTGTCTCGCCGTTTTACCTCCTTTTTTATTTTGAGGATGAGTGTTAAATGTTAATGCTTTGTAAAGTTAACCATTTCTATCTAGACCAGCGGTTTTCAAACGTTGTGATGATAGAGATCCCAGATATATGACAGGGACAAAATAAGTATTGAAATTATTTACTGACCGTGACAATTTTCTCCACCCTTTATTAATGTTAGATGTATCGGCCTAAACTTGCAGAGAAACGTTTCAGTTCTGTTCATGTGCATATAGTTGTGCTTTTGGCAATTAATATTGTTCTAAAGCAGTACAAATCTCAGTGTGCATGACAAGACTTTCTCCAACAAGTCTTCTTATAAATGTGAAATTATTGCATTAAATATATAATTAACATGTTAACACACAAAGTTGGAAAGCCCTAAAAATACATTTAGCAAATGTTATTTTTCTCTCTCTGGAGGCCTGTGGGGCCCCAGTTTGAAAACCCCTTGTTCAGACAACCGGCGACTAGTCGAATTTTAAAATATGAAGTTTTGCAGATCCCTAATTTCAATAACCTGACACTTAATCAATTTCCTATTACAGTCTCTTTCTAGTTTTCTTTTCATACACCCACTCTCTTCCTGAGTATTTTCAGTGGTTTTTCCACTCATTTTTTGGCATCTTTCCTCTCACGGGGGCAACTTTACAATACAGCCTGTGCCAAGAACAAGAGAGTGAGAAAGAGAGCGGGACTCCAGCAGCATTCATCTGTGATAATTAAAAGTAATAAATCTGTGATGGTTTTTGGCTATAGGCCTTTAGACCTGATGTTCTTCAAAGAAACATGGAGACAGACCTCAAACACAGATGACACAGACACTTCACTATTGATTCTAAAGGCTCTTTGAAGTCTAAAAGATGCGGTCCCATAATGGAAGAAGGAAGTGTATTTTTAATGTCTCGTCCCTCCCTCTCTGGCTTTAGGGGGGGAATTCTCTAAGTTTCAGTCATGGAGAGGGAGAGAAGGGATGAAGCGAGGGAGAGAGCTGAAAGACAGGGCCTCATTGTTTACATGAGGGCACCAGGGTTGAACTGACGTGTGCATTCATCTTTAATGTTCACGCTTAAAATATGAACCTGCGAGGACTGTGTTGACAGACACACACCTACCTTCTCACTCGCTTTCTTTCTTTTTGTTCTCTTTTGCTTCACACTTGCATTGCCGTGCTGCCGGGTTGGACTGAGGGATTACAGGCGTCTGCTGGTTGGAAGAAGTGGAAAGACATGATAAATAGAGAAAGGAAAAGAGTGACAGAAACAGACCTGAAATAACAATATAAATAACTGAAGTGCCTCCATATGTCATTTCCTCTCAAGAGTCTGAACCTTTTCTACAGTAAATGCTAATTTATCAATATAAACACATTTCCAAGCAGGTACTGTATAAAATAATAATTTCTCTTGAGGTCTCTTGTAAGAGATTCCACAAGCCAGTATTGTTCAGTCATACATGAATAAGTGTCAATGAAAGGAAATTTCAACTGTTAGAGCACCATAAAAAATTTAATGCATTTATAATACCAAAAAAAAAAAAGATGGGCATCTGAAAAGAGAAAAACACACAAATGAACATTTTTTGCTGTTAGTTTCTAGTAGGCTTTGCTTACAGTGTACTAGGGCTACACGATTATGACAAAAATCATAATTGTCGATTATTCCCTTGAAATTGTAATTGCGATTTATTAATTACGATTATCACAATTTACACTGAATGATGTTTATACCATTGTTTGATGCAACTGCATGCCGTATGTTTATATGAAAATAAACAAGCTGAAAACACTAACTGAAAAACCTTTAGTGCTTTTCTATAGTATTAAGCCTCAAATGTCAAATATACATCGGATTGGTTTCTTCTTTAAATTATAAAAAAAGTAAAAATATGAATGGTATTATAATGTTAAACTAAAACTAAAACAATGGAAAAACCCTTAAGATAACATGTAGAAAGAAAAAAAAAACATACCTTAAGCGTGCAGAATAACATAAATGGACTTTTAACGATTAATTGCTGCTTTGAACGATTACGTAATTGTGGCATTCATAATTGTAATCGCGATTAGAAATTTGATTAATTGTGCAGCCCTACAGTGTACATTATAATTGCATGGAAAAGAGTGACCAATAAGTAATGTTAATAGATCTTTAAAATTATTTATTTCTTTAGTCACAGCTTTTTTTTTGCTTTTTTCATTTTGTGTCTGAAGTTCATTTTACTAAAGTTCTAGTAAAAAATATAGTATTTATAGTATTATAGTAATTGTATTATTTTTTTTTTTGATATTGTTTGTTAAATTTCTGCGTTGTTTGTTTTGTAAATCTGTCCCAGTGTGATGCAGGTTTTACAAAGAGGCTGTTACTGAAGGGTCAGGCAGTTAAAAACTATACTGGACTGGATTGAAAACCTCTAAATGTGAGTGTACAGTAGCAAAGCACTGTATTTCTTTTTGCTTGTAATTATGGTGATTATGTATACAAGTCTTAAAGGGAAATCTATCCCAAGGTAAAAATGTTATTATTGTTATACTCACCCTCATAGCGTTCCAAAACTGAATGACTTGCTTTCTTCTGAGGAACACTAAAGTATTTTGAAGGACGTTGGGAACCAACCAACATTGGAGACCACTGACTTCCAATGTATGGACCAAAAAATATTTTATTTTTTTCTGCAAAGTCATACAGTTTTGTACCCCAGTGAGGGTAAGTAAATGACGACTGAATTTTCTTTTTTTGGGTTTGGAATGATATGAGAGTGAGTTTTTGTTTTGGGCTGAACTATTTTTTTAAAGACACAGCAGGAAAACAATGGTATGTTTAATAGTTAGAATCAGACAATGGGTATAAAAAGCTGCTCTCTGAATAATAATACATATTTTTACTGTAAACTTGAGTAACATTTAAAGTGCGCCTCAGAGAAATAAAACAATTAAATATATATGATTTGATAATATTAGTTTATTCCATCAGCTTTAGGCTGTTTGTGGTTGACTATCCTTGTAGCAACTTGACATTCATTTAGAACATGCAGTGACAGGTGTGCATTTATCTGCATTTTACAACAGCTTTACGTATCAGAATTTAGTGCCAAAGTTCTCAGTTTTATAATGAGCATTCTGACATAGGCCTCATACAGTAATTAACCCCCCCATAGCACCCGAACAAAGCCCTGTTAATGCCCCCTGGGCCAACAGAGGGTGTGCAGCATGTGTGTCTGACAGAATGGGGTGATAATGATGTTGGGGAAAGAGCTGCTGTATCTGTCTTCTGTGCTGCTGTCTGTTAAAAAGTGAATCTCTCCAGAGTTCCTTAAAGTGTCAGTATATAGATGGTTTTCTAAAGAACCATAACACTTTCTTTAAAGGCATCAGAATATGAAGTTTTATTGTTAAGATGTATTATCCATTGGATTTGAGCATATGTGCTTCTTTATTACTCATGTACATACAGATACTCTGCAGCAAAATGTGTTTTGCTCTTTGTCTATTGGCTTTTGTTTAAAATCATCAAATGTGTTTAGCACATTAAAGTGCCTCTTAAAAGTAGTAAGAAAGGAAAAGGATATTCATTTGTGTGCTAGTCACTGCATTACTGTAATTAGGAATGTTGTGAAAGCTGACATTATTAACAGTGCCACATAAAATAAGCAGTTACAAGCAGCCCTAGCATTGAAGCCTTAAAATAAGATTTAATAGGAAGTGTATTTGCAAACATGCGATCAAATGATAATTTAGTTATTATAAAACATGTACCCTATCTGCCATATTTCTCTATATTTAATTGAAATGATCAATTTAATTGACAGTTGACACATTTCTACATTTCACATGATTTAATTAAACGTGAGAAATGTATTCATTTTGAGCAATTTTTGTGATAGTTTTGAAATTGTATAAAAGTTTCTGTAACAATAACTGTAAATGCATTGTCAGCACAAACAAACTGGAAAAAATACTTTAAGGGTTTAGAATTTATGCTTTAACTGTCATCTTTTTAATTTATCCGTCAATTTTAGAATTAAATAATTAATATTTATTGAACTAATAAGTTTCCTAAATTTGCACACTGGATGCGTAAAGGTGATTTCACTCTATATATATATATATATATATATATATATATATATATAATATATACAT